TGCAGGTCCCAGGACCCTCTGGTGCAGACCCACCTCCCTCCCTGGTGGCCTTGGCCCCCAGGAAAGAGGCTAAGCAAGGGGTGCAGGGGAGCCAGCATAACCCCCCAGCTCACTGCACTCCTATCCTCCCAAGACCCCGCTGAGCTCCTTTCCTGCCTCTGCCCCCTCGCCCCACCCCATTCACCCCATCCACCCCATCAACTGTTCAGGCCCCCAGCAGAGCCAGCCCCGCTAACAGACAAGCTTGGTTCGAACGACTCCTCTGCTAACACCGGGCTGAGCCCTGAGTTCGCTCTTCTGTGACATTTCTGTCCCTTGGATGTGCCAAGGGTGGTGTGGGGCAAGTCTCATGCCTCACACCCCCCACCCCCCGCCTCAAAACCACCCAATAAAGGAAACAGGAGCACTAACCATCAGCCACATGAAATCACTGGTGCCTCTCCTCCCCGCAGGCTGCCTGCCACCAGCAGCCCTCCAGGGGCAGCATTCTGCAGGCCAAGGCTCCTGCCTGGCGTACTACCTACCCCACACCCACCCCCAGCGCCTGGCAACTAGTAGGTGCTCAGCCAATTTGTAAGGAGAAGCTCCAAACATGCAGGAGAGTTGAAAGAACAAGTACACTGTTCACTGAAGATTCAACAATGAATGTTGTTACCTGGCTTGCTTCATGTGTGTATTTTTGGGAAGCCATTTGGAATTGAGTTACAGATTTTTTCACATCATTCACCTATACAATTCAGCATCTGTTTCCTAGGAATAAGGACCTAAAAACCTCGACATGATTAAATGGCTACTGTGCATGCTAACTCGCTTCAGTTGTGTCCGACTCTTTGTGACCCCATGGGCTATAACCTGCCAGGCTTCTCTATGGGATTCCCTGGGCAAGAACACTGGAGTGGGTTGCCATGCCCTCCTCCAGGGAATCTTCCCGACCCAGGGATTGAACCTGAGTGACTTATGTCTCCTGCATTGGTAGGCGGTTTCTTTACCACTAGTGTTAGCTGGGACTACTAGATGACTAGTTTTAGTGAGGTGCCCTTTGCTTAGGAAGCTACCCTCTCCAAGTGTGCAATCCACTTGGCAATCCTTCAGTAGCAACCCACTCCAGTATTCGTGCCTGGAAAATCTCACGGACAGAGGAGCCTGGCGGGGTACAGTTCATGGGGTCGCAAAGTCAGACATGACTTATTGACTAAACAGCCAAGTGTGCTTAGTTCTTGGCAGAGGGAGTAGGTGGGACGCACCTCCCAGTTGCTGCCAATCCCCCCACCCCCCCCCTCCCCTCACCCTCAGAAAAGCAGTGCTCAGGAGAACCGTTTGGACGGAGGATGACAGATGCCAGTTCCATCTGGGAAGCCAGGACAACCCCATCCCATCCTCTCCCAGCAGCTGGCAATCTGGGGCTGAATTCAGAGGACACGGCCACCAGCAGAGGGCTGCAGTGAGCCAGACGGGAGTGAAGTCGCTGGGGTGGGATAAACACCAGCCCCAGGAGCCTGGAATAGCACCCAGCGTGGGCTCCAGCCCGCCTCCCACCCAGCTCACCCTGGGTGCCACCAAGGCTGCCAGGCCTAAGCCACTGAGGTGGGCACATGGGTCCCCTCTGCCTGCAGGCCTAGGGGTCAGGTAAGGAGATGTTCAGGGCCAGCTTTGCTGGAGGAATTAAATATAGAACAGGGAGACACAGTTGCCAGGCAGAAGCAGGAGGTGCTGTGAATAGAACAGTGCTCTCTGCGGTGACAATGCCATGAGAGAGCTTGCTATCATGTGCCAGGGCTTCTGGGCAGATTCTCTGACCCTCACGGTGACCTCTGAGCTGTGACTTTGTTCCCACTTCACATGTGGGGCATCTGAGGTTTAGATGGGAGTCCTTTCCCCAACATGGTTCTGCCAGGCAGAGAAGCCCCAGACAGTTTAGAGCCCACGTTCCTGCCACCATGGCAACTGCAGGTTTCTGGGGTCACCATCCCACCAGCTCGGACCCAAACTCCTCTCAAGTCTTTCTCTGGAGCGCAGGACGTGCTGAGGCCTTGGCTCACAGCTGCCCACCAGCCTGCAATGCCCTTGCACAAAGGTGCTTCAGCAAGCATCTGACAGAACATGACTGCAAGGCCTTGATGGGGTCAGAGCCCGCACTGGGCAGCACATGGGGGGCGGGAGTGCGGCAGAGCACGTGCCCCCCTCCTGAGCTGCCTTTGCAGGCTCTGCAGTGCCTCTCCAGGAGTGGGTCTGGCGCAGGAAGAGGCCAGGTGGGCATTGGTACCCCCTGCCCTACTCTTCCTACCCTGCCCAGGGTGTGCAAACTCTGGTGAGCCCAGAGTGGCTGGTTCTAATTCAAGGGCTCTGAGCTGGCTCAGCTCCAAAGCAGGGCCTCTTTCTGGGCCTCAATGAAGCATGCCCGTGAGTCAGCACGGAGACTCGGCCGGAGCAACAGGAAGGGCAGGGTGCAGGATGGGGAGCCAAGGATGGTGGTGGTGGTGGGTAATGCCTGGAAGAACTCGAGTCCCTGCAGCCTCCATCAGTTGCAAGATCCTTGCCCAGCAGATCTTTCCAGAAAAGTTCTGTCACAACCACGCCACGGGTGACGACAGATAGATTCCATGAGGCTTGAGCGGGTTTGTAAACCTGCAGGACTCCAGCCTGCCCTGCCCTGTTCCCTCACCCAGGAATGCCCACTGAGAACCGTGTCACACACTCGTAGCCCCGACACTGTCCTGAAGGAAGGCTAAAGCGGGTGGGCGAGAGAGCAGGGACAGAGACCTTCAATGCTCACTTCTTGGTTGTGTAATAATACTTGATTAAAATGAAGTCACACAGTGCATCTTTTTATTAGACATTATTTTAATACCATATCAAAACACCTTGACTAATGAAGAAAGCCTTTTCCCCCGGCTTTGAACATTTTTTAAACATTTTATAAGGTTTTTTTTTGTTTTGGATTTTAATATATAAATACAGAAACCTATCTTGCCGGAGCTGATGTCACGCATGAACATCAACAGCTAAAATGTTCTCAAACAGAATGCCTGAAAACAGGGGCAGCTGTACACATCCTTTTAGTCTTTTGTCTGTCTAAGTTTTCTGGAAAAAAGAAAAAAAATACACAGGGGTCTAGGAAAACCGTTCAGGCATTTTTGCAGGACACTTGTGGTTGTTAAATCCTCTGAACTGACCAGAACCAGGAGGGAAAGGGGAAAGAGAAATGGGAAGGAGGGGGAGAACATCCTGATGGGCTCGTTTTTGGCAACGAAGTCAAGATATCAGGGTCCCCAGGGGAGAAAAGTGCAAAATCAAGCCAGAAAAATGGGGGGGGGGGGCGGGATAAAACAAACAAAAAATCCAAGGCAGAGTGGTTGATGGAGAGGCCGCTGGGTGCCGGGCACAGGAGGGCTGTGAGCTCGCTCTGCGCCATCGGCACTCGAGTGGCAAGAACCCAGCTCTGTTCGGTTGTCACTGAGTGGGTTCTGGCCGGGGCAGCAGACAGTGATCTGTAAACATCACGAGGGAACACACCAGTCGACACTAGACTTTTTTCTTTTTTTTATAATTTTTTTTTTTTTTTGTAAACACTTTAGAGACAGACCCACAATGCCTTTCAAAGGTGAAAAAGAAAATGCCCTTTCCCTCCTGGGATGAGGATGAGGGGAAGGATAGCGGGTGATTCTTTCTTCTCTCAAACTGGCTCTCATCCAATCTGGTGTCCTTGGGGAGAAAGGGGGACCATTCTCTGGAAGTCAGTGCAGGAGGGCGCCCTGTTCCCACTGCTGTCCCCAGCTCAGCTCTGCCCCAGTGTCCGAAGCCTCCTCTCAGCAACGGGGCCCTGGCTGTCCCTGTGGGGACCGGAAGATGTCAGTCGTGCTTGGTGGGCCCAGGGCCGGCCGCGTGCGTCCTGCTGAGGCCGGGATGGGGCGCCCCCCGAACGGACGTCATGCTGGGAATCTGGACTTGCAGCTGGTGCCAGGCTCCATGCCCTCTGCCTCTTTCTTCCCTTCGCGTTTTCTTCACCCCACGTCCTCAGTTTTTGAGGTGAATGTAAAAGAGCAAATGTCCCTGAATAGTTTGACATCGTCAGCTGTTCTGGGGGTTTACTTGGGATAAATGAAACAAACCTAACAAAGAACAAAAGAAAACAAAAAAGACGAGAGAAAGAGGGAGAGGGAGAGAGAGCGAGAGAGAGACAGAACGGAAAGGGGCCCCTGAACCCTTGGGTGTGAGATGACGTGGGTTTTGGTTCCTCTGGGGGTGTCGTCTGTTTGGTGGAAGGGACAGGTAGGATGGGGACAGGAGAGGACATTCAGCAGTAAAGTAAGGTGCCCGAGGGAGACACTGGGGCTCACAATGGTTACAGGGTGGGAAATGCCCTGGGCACTCCCATTTCTGGGGAGGAAGCTGGCTGGGCTGGTCTGTGGTGCAGTCAGGGACCTGGGTTGTGGCAGCGGGGCCCCAAGTCTGGCCTGGAGGTGGCCAGAGGAGGGAAAAACCTGATGAGATGACTGCTGACAAAAGAGGCAGGGACAATGCGCCGTCCCGTTCAATGGCTGTGATGTCCACGTGGGGGTGCAAGCGAGACGTCCCCACCCCCAAAGAAGCAGTACCAACCCCCCCACCCCACCCCAACCCGGGTGAGGACCTGCTCCGCCTGCCCAGGAGCACAAGGCACAGAGTCCAGTCACCTAGTTCCCCTCCACCCAGCACTTTCTGAGGCTCTTGCTGAACCTTCTCAGGGAGACTTGCCCTGAACGTCTGTATCACACTGGTCTTTCTCCACCTCCACCTCCACCCGTCCAGATTCTTCTGGACAACCATGCAAGAGTGGACTCTCAGGCTTCCCAGGAACCACTCCCACCCCACAGAAGCACTGCTGCTTAGACCCTCTTCCCCCGACCCCTTTCAGTGGGGAGGCGGGGGTTTGTGAGGGCAGCTCAGCAACGCCCCCTCAACTCCAGGGCCCCAATCACTGGCTCACCATTGAGAGGAGTCAGCAAGCGAGCCCAGCAGGGTCAGTCCGCAGGGTGTTCTGGACAAGATCTGTTCACTTCAAACCACGAGTCTATGCAGCTGAGGGGGGAGACGGCAAGGGGGACGCGTCACCGGCTGAGCAGCTGCTCCTCAGGGCTGGGTCTCCGAGCAGGATTCCTACGTCTCACCCGCGAGGACCCGACACCCACTGTCTACTGGCTGGAAGAAGCAGGGCACTCGGATGGGTGCTGGCTCAGCCGGAGGCCCCATGCCGTGGGGTGGGGTGGCGTGGGCCTAGGCCCGCAGGAAGCGGGGAGCGCGGCCTCGAGAGGGACGAGGCCTCGGGGGCGTGGAGCCCGGGAAGGCGGCACAGCTACTACAGAGACAGCGAGTGCGGGGGGCTGCAAGCGGCGGCCAAGCGACCGTCTCCAAGGCTTGAAGAGCAAGGAAGGCTGGTTAGCGCCCTGAGCGGGCCGTCTCCTGAGGCTTCCTCCCTGGCGGTGACGTCTCAGGAGACCCCCGCTCTGCCTGGCTGTGGCGGGCTGCCAGCAGCCAGCCCTCCCGGGAGAAGGTGGCCCAGGGAGGGACTCAGGAGCGCCAGGCAAAGGCCGGCAGTGAAGTCGTGGAGTCACAGAAAGGGCTGTCCGAGCCGGGAGGGGGCAGAAATGGCCCCAGGATGGCTTTCTGCGAAGGAACCAGACCGGCCATTTGCATAAGCCTCCCCCAGAGCTAGAAGTCCCGTCCCAGGTTCTAGTCAGCGCCTCCCAGGACGCTGGCGGCCTGGCGCCGGGCCCGGGCCCAGATCCAGACCCTCTCCGCACCAGCCACGTCCGCCTGCGGCCCCGTGGCCGTCGGCCCCAGTTAGGCTTCAGGAAAGCCTGCGTCAGGAAGCAGCTCCAAGGCCCGAGGGGCCGAGAGCAGTGGAGGCCACGGGTGGCACGGGGCGGCCTCCGGTCCTGAGTGAGGAGTCTTTTTTCCAGTTGGAAACAAGAACGACGCTCGAGCTGGAGCTGGAGGCCAAACCTCGGCCTTGACCGCCCCACAGGTAGTGAATATTTCCGCCCACGGGGCCTCTGGAGAGAGGGGCGGGGCCTGGAGCTGCGGGGCGGGGCGGAGCAGCCAGCACCTCCCTCCTTGCTGGCCCCGCGACACAGACCCGGGTCTGCACACTGCGGAGCAGGGGTGGGGCTCTTGGAGACACACGGAGACCCAACCTTGCAGGGCGCTAGGGATCTACCGGCCTCGGCGGCTCTGCGCCCCGCGCGTCCAGACGTCCCCGCCTGCGGCCTCTGCCTCGACCCCGCTCAGGGTCCTTGTGACGGCCGGCTCTTTCCTCCCACCACAGGGAAGGAGCCCTCTGGTGTCTGGGTGTGGCTGAGCTGGGCCTGCCGGCTCCCTCGTACCTTTTGTGATAAATGCACAGGCAGGGCAGCCTGGCTATCGTGTCCCCCTGAAGCAGCTCCTCCAGGCAGATCACACACTCACCCGCGTCTTTAGTCAGCACGTCATCTGCAGAGAGGGGACAGTGGGAGAGGACGGGGGTCAGTCGCCAGCTGTCAGGAGTCTGAGAGCCGGTTGAGACGGCGTGGGCCGCCTGAGTGAGCCAAAGTCCACGGCGGACCTTGACGTGAAGCTCCTCACTGCGGACACCAGACATGTAAACCACACGCCAACTATCTGAGGACAAAACGGGGTTAATCACCAAATCCGCAGCCCAGGAGACAGAGGATGAAAATGAACGTGGGAGGGAGTCACTGGGAGCTGGGCAGCATGAGAGAAACTGGCTCCCTGGACAGACTTTCCCCCTAAACACACACACACAGGCCAGGGACTCTGATTTCTGGTTCCGGGGAAAAAATGGTGATGGAGAGTTGGACTAGGCAAGAATGGGGGGAAAAGAGGCACTCTAGCAGGATGATTCAGGATATTACACAGGATTATTCACAATGAGTGGGAAATGTCCACCAGCTGATGGAGAAATGAACCGTGTGGACCCACACAATGGAGTATCACTGAGCCAGGAAAGGTGAAGGGCTGATGCGGGCTGCAACATGGACGCACCTTGAAAACACGGTGCCAAGTGAAGGAAGCTAGACGCAAAAGGCCACCGGCTGTATGATTCCCTTTGTGCAAAATGTCCAGAGGAGGAAAATTTAGAGAAAAAGTTAGGTCAGGGGGCACTGGAGAGTGAGTGCTTCATGAGTAAGGGATTTTCCTTTTTCTTTTTTTTTGTGGTAACATAAGATGTACCCTCTAGATAAAAATGTAAGAGTACAGTACACTACTGCAATAGGCATCATGTTGCAGAGCAGATCTCTAACCTTATTCATCTTACGTAACTGCAATTTTCTACCTGTTGAATAGCAATTGCCTGTTTTGCTCTCCTCTGCCATCCACCCTTCTGCTCTCCAGTTCTATGGAGTTGACTGTTGACTCCTTTAGATCCTTTATTTAAGTGGAATCATACAACGAGGTCCTTCTGGGGTGATGAAATGTTTGCAACTAGACAGAGACAGTGGTTGCACAATGTTGTGAATGTCCTAAATGCTGCCACACTGTTACTTGCGTGTTAAACACATTTTAACTCTATTAAATAGCTTGAATAAAAAGACACCTTAAGTTCCCACCAGAAAAGAATGAATGGAAGGAAGCTGCCGGGCACCATGGCCCTGGGTGAAGCCTTAAGCACAACAGCAGGAGCAGAGCTGGGGGCCAAACCAACACCCTCCAGGACATTCCTGTGACATTCTGGGCGCTGGCGACTCAAGTGAGTAAGCCACAGTCTCAGGATTCAAGAAACTCACAGCCCAGCAGGGGCAGCTGAACAAGACGGAAATGAACAGCACAGGGATTCCTGGAAGTCTCAGGACGCACACAGATCCAGATGTGAGAAGTGTGGGAGACGCCTGGGTGGGGTGGGGATGGCTCAGGGAGGGGTGTTCCAGGAGAGGGGACAGCGTCTGTGCACCTGGGTGGGAAGGATGCTGCTGCAGAGTTGTGGGGCCACGGGGGGAGGTGAGACCAACGTCCTAAGGACGGGCTTGGGACCTGCATTCTGCTGCGAGGCCTGGGCTTCCTCTGGTTCGATGAGGGGCCCTGGAGTCATGCTCTGATCACATCTGGCCTTCTGAAACCACCGGGAGTGGCTAGAAGAGCCCTGGGGGGCGGGGGGAGCCTGCTCCGGAGGCTGACGCAGCACCGCAGCAGAGGGGAACTCAAGGCCAGTGCCAGCACTGGGGGCGGGAGGATGACACAAACTGGGGCAGCTGGGCAAACTGGGGGCGGGGGGGGGGGGGTGCTCGTCACGACAAGAGGGAGCCCAGGAGGGCTGACTTGGGATGGGAACGATGAACTCAGCGCTGGGTGGGAGGTGCTGAGCAGGAGTCTCCCCAGGGACATGGCCACGGAAACCTCCTGGAGTCCACTCAAGTCCAGATCTGGGGTTTAGAGGAGAGATGTGGGCCACAGCGGGAGGTGGGGGATACAGAGCTTAGACAAACCCAGAGAGGGCAGACGACTGAACCAGGTGAACTCTAGTATTTGAAAGGCAGGTGAAAAGAGGTGAAGTCAGCAAAAGGCTACCCAGACGTTCTCAAAACCACAGAAGAAATATCCAGAAGCTGGCTTCCAGATGTGAAAAGAGCAGAGCCTGAGGCTGGAGAATTCCTCACTCCTGAAATATTTTAATTGATCGTAGACACGGCCAGGGATACACACTCAGATTTCATGTGTGCGTGTGTTCAATGAGCCGCAGGATCTTACAAGCCAGGCAGGCACCTGGTTTTATTCCTGATTGGCAAACGGGGACAATGCAGCCAGAGGACCAGACACCCTGCTGAAGTCAGAGAGCTGGTGAATGGGAGTGGGTCGGGGACCCTGGGAGCTCAGGGAAGCAGGCAGTGCCCACACACAGCACAGAGCCCAGGAAGCAGCACCTCCCCACCTCGGAAGGCAGGAAGAGCCCAAATCCAGCAACAGGTCTGAGTGGGTTGAGTAAAACTTCCTGTCCCAATCCCCCAGGCGCTAGGAATCAGCAGCCCCAGGTGTCCCTGGATGCCCAGCAGGGGAGGAAACATGGCTGAAGCTAAAGCCTGCCCACCACCCAGATCCTACACGACTTCTGCTCTCTCATGCTAGGAGCCCACCGCCAGCTGCCAGGGGACCTTGCCGTCCAAAGGAGAGGACCCCGAGCCACGCTGAGATTACTATGCAGATGGACTCTGATGCCTCTGGGCTGGGCACCCCAAGGTCCCCAGAGCAGGGGGGCCTGACCGATCCTGGTCGATGAGAACACAGAACCAAGCTGTTCTTTCTCCTCAAGCCCCATAAGCCCCAGCTTCCTGACACGGTGTGCAAAGCCAGGCGAGGGGTGGTGCTGACAGGGCCAACGCTCGGCTCCAACGCAGACCAGAGAAGCAGCCCAGGGTGGTGGGCAGTGCGCTCCCCTCCTGCTGCCGGGGAGGGGGTGGGAGGTGACGGCGCACTTCTGCCTGGTCTGGTCCCCGACAGCTGCTGTTCATCAAAGAGGAGCGGCTGAGGAGGAGAAGAGGGAGCCCTCACTTCTCTGGGACCAGCTGCACGCCACAAGTGTCACACACACAGCCTGCTGAACCCTGAAGACCCTGCAGGGTCAGGGCTGCAGCTGAGGCCGCGGGTAAGCGGCCAGGACCCCCGCGCTGCTCCTTCCACTTGGCCAACCTGCTCCTGTCCTTCAGAGACTAGGCGACAGTCTCTGCTCTGGGGCTGGAAACCACCACCCACCTCACCGAGGGCTCCAGCCCGCCCTCTGGGTGGGTGCAGGAGCCTGGCTGCAGGGAGCGCAGGCCCGACATCGCCTGGTGGGACTGCCAGCGCTGCCCAGGCGGGCTGGGCTTCCATCTTGACAAGCGGAGGGGGGCCCTCAGGCCCGAGGGGCTTCAAGTTCACAGAGGCTGCCCTGGGGGGCCCCTCAGCCCCCTCTCCCCAGGGCTCCCTCTCCCCCACCTCATGCACCGGCTGCCAGGAGCCCTCTCCTGCTGTCCCCCCTGCAGGAAGGGCGCCTGCACAGACACCCCCAGGCAGACCCCAGGCCGACAGACTCAGCTGCTACTAGCATCAGTAATAGCTCCCAGCAGCGCCCCCACTGGCTTGGGCAAACTCCCCAGCTCTCCCTAAGGCCCGAGAAAAGGCACTTCCATCCCAACCACGGGGTCCCTGAGAGCAGAGACACAGGCCAAACAAGCACCATGGCACAGGTCTGCTGGCGGTGGGTAAACGAGCAGGAGGCACCACTGTTTTGAGGGCAGCCAGAGTCCCTTTCCTGTAAAGAAATCTTGTGTGACATTCAGCATTTAGCTGGAGGCGATGACCTTTGGCCGAGAGGAGGGGTGGGCAGGCAGGACCTAAGAAGCAGGGCATGGGTCTGCGCCCCAGAAGAAAGCTGAGCAGACAGGAGCTTTTAAAGCTGCTCTGACAGCCACCAAGCTCGCTCAACACTGCTGGCAAAAGAGCCTGCCACACGCCAGGCTCTCCCAGAGCCAAGGAGCCCTGCTGGTCACGGAATTGGGGCCTCCTCGGTCCTAGGACTGTGACCCTTCTGTTCACAGCAGAACCAGGCCCCTCACCTCCAGATTCACTCTACTGGCTGACCAACATGATGGTCAAAACCTGAGTGCGTGTTCTTGAGGATGCGACTTGCCCCAGTCTCAGAACCACAGAGAGACCTTGGAAAGGGAGAGAAATTTTAAGATCCCGTCAAGCTGGCCACATGTATCCAAGCAAACGGGTCCCCCGACTCCATCCTCACCCTTGAGGCATCCATCCTGGGCTCAGAGCTACCCACAGAGGAGAAGAGAGGACAGGAGACTCTGTGCTCTGGGTGCACCCCCACCGGGCCACCGGGTCACCCCGACTCACGGGCCGGAGCCCGTGTGGGAGCACCAGCTCCTGGTCTTCTCCTGAGCACTGGGTGAACCAGTTAAACTAGTCTTGCCTTTCCTAAACTGGCCTTTTTAAAAAAAATCTGGCAGGCGGCTACTGGAGGCCTTCTAAGCTACAGCTCAGGCCAACACTCATAATAAGAAAAATATTACTTTCTATCAGCCTCATTTAGGAGGTTTCTTTTTTTTCCCCCCTCTTTGGTGGTTAACTAAATTTCACCTTACATAACTGCTATCAATTTCCTAAACATTTCCCCAATTGGTGCTAGCATCTACAGAAAGGGTGTGTGTGTATAGATGGGGAATCTCCCGGGAATGACCAGGAATTTCAGTGACTCTTCCTTTCTGTATCTCAGAACAGGCCCCAGACCAGCCCTGGAGACTCACACTCCGTATACAGACCCCAGGTGGCAAATACCTTCCTCAAGCCTGGAAGGTTTAGGTGTCCTTAGACAGACTGCACGTGTTAACAGTACACGCAGAGGGGTGGGGCACCTTCTTCACCTTAAGACAAATTCCATTGATGGGACCAGAAGCAACACGCTGCTCTTTGCCTCTGGTGATTAAGGACTGGCTTTTGCAAAAAAGGTCCTCCGGTTCACACACACACACACACACCCTCTCATGCACACCTTCCCCTCCCCTGGCCCCAAAGAGATGGTTTTGCAACTGTGTGTATGTCAGTCGCTCAACTGTGTCTGACTCTTTGAGACCTCATGGACTGTACCCCGCCGGGCTCCACTGTCCATGGGATTCTCCAGGCAAGAATCCTGGAGTGGGTTGCCATTTCCTCCTCCAGGGGATCTTCCCAACGCAGGGATCAAACCCGGGTCTCCCACACTGCAGGCAAATTCTTTACCACCTGAGCCACGAGGAAGCTCCCAAGTGAAAGTGAAAGTCGCTCCATCGCGTCCGACTCTTTGCAGCCCCATGGATGGTAGCCCACCGGACTCCTCTGTCCACAGAATTCTCCAGAAAGAATACTGTTCCCCCTTCTCCAGTGGATGTTCCCAACCCAGGGATCAAACCCATGTCTCTCACATTGCAGGTGGTTACTTTACCATCTGTCTGAGCCGCCAGGGAAGGCTTTTCAGATAGAGGAGGGAGATAATGCGAACAGACCAAGAATACGCACGGCCAGGCCTCCAAGGGGACTCTCAGTCTGAGTGAGGCCCGGAGGACATCAAGGACAACACGGGTACACCCATGCCAAGGCAAGATATTTGGGTTTGATCCCTAGGAAATGGCAACCCACTGCAGTATTCTGGCCCGGAGAGTTCCACAGACAGAGGAGCCTGGTGGGCTAGAGTCCATGGGGCCCCAAGGAGTCAGACACGACGGAAGCAACCGAGCACGCACGCACACTAGGCCAGGTGTTAGCTTTCACTCTGTCCATGGGGTGTCGTGGCAGGGGACTTGGGTTTCATGGAGTCCCCCGATGTACTCATGCTCAGCCCCGAGGTGGCGGGTCAGTTCTTAGTCCTCAAAGGTGTCCACACATCACATCTATTCTGCCCTGGACAGTCAGGCTTAAGCAGGTTGTGAAAGCTCAGCCCGGACTCCCCTTCCCCACAGAGAGCTGGTGCTCCCATGGACCCTCCACTCTCAGCTGTGGGTGACCAAGGCCTGTCTCCCAAGCCCGACACGAGAGCAACTAAGCAGGTAGAAGAAAGGACGGGGAGCATTAGCCTCCGGAGGGACTCCCACCCTGCCCCACTCCCCTTGCCCTTCCTGCTGAGAGGCAAGGTGCAGATGCTGCCCAGAGCCCAACCCCCCTCCACCCCCCCCACCCCGCCTCCCACCCCAACCAAGCCCTCACCGTTGTAGGAAAGACGAGGTTTGCTCAGACACATTATAAAGTGCATTTCCATCTCATCGGAAGCCACGGACTTGGAGCAAATGGGGCACTTGAAACCTGAAAGAAGAGAGAACAGAATGAAATGTTTTGTTTTGTTTCCCCAAACCAAGCATATCCATAATAAAGGTGGAAACTCTTGGGTGACTCTGGCCATGTGGGCTCAGAATCAACACTGGGAATGACAGTCTAGATACATCTCACAACTGACTTCTACATTAAGGCAAGCAACATTTCGTTTCTTTGTTATAGCCTCCAACTCCCATTTTTTCATGGAGGCTCACCCTTAGCAGAGACATTACTTTGCCAACAAAGGTCTGTCTAGTCAAGGCTATAGTTTTTCCAGTGGTCATGTATGAATGTGAGAGTTGGACTATAAAGAAAGCTGAGCGCCAAAGAATTGATGCTTTTGAACTGTGGTGTTGGAGAAGACTCTTGAGAGTCCCTTGGACTGCAAGGAGATCCAACCAGTCCATCCTAAAGGAGATCAGACCTGGGTGTTCACTGGAAGGACTGATGCTGAAGCTGAAACTCCAATACTTTGGCCACCTGATGTGAAGAGCTGACTCATTTGAAAAGACCCTGATGCTGGGAAAGATTGAGGGCAGGAGGAGAAGGGGACGACAGAGGATGAGATGGTTGGATGGCATCACTGACTCAATGGACATGGGTTTGGGTGAACTCTGGGAGTTGGTAATGGACAGGGAGGCTGGGCGTGCTGCAGTTCATGAGGTTGTAAAGAGTTAGACAGACTGAGCAACTGAACTGAAATGAACTGAACACCCTTGTCATGCCCCTTTCCAAAGCCTACCAGCTGTCTCTGGCAGCCAACTTGAGTTTTCTTTGCATTCAGATCCTTTCCCAAGGGGGTCTAGTGGGCAGTGGGGACAGGGAGGCATTGATCGAATCAAGGTGACTGAACAGTGTGTCTTTGAATAACAAAGAGTTAACATCCTTCCGCCTGTGGCCCTCAAACCACTTAGCTAGGTCGCCAGGGAAGGAAGCCCTACAGGTGTGGGCACCTCTGTGCCTCAGCCTGAGCACCTTCCCTCCTGTGGCTCCCACAGCTGCCCCTGGAGAGTGTGTGCGCAGCGAGGTGGCCCTGCAGAGCGCTCCCGAATGCCGCACATGCCTTGGCCTTTCCTCCAAGAGTGGCAGCTGTTTCACAGCCACAGGTGACTGACCCTGCCGCTTTATTCTCCACGAAGTTTACTTATTACACACCTGGGGTGTTTCATCAAACTGTATCAGCACTGGATATTTTGGCGGAGAATCTTTTGAGCTGAACTCCATGATGCAAACTTAGTCCTTTGATCGTTTTTTATAAATTATTTTTTGACCTATTTTTACAGATAAATATAGATTTTTACAGACAAATACAAATCTTTCCAATTTCTCCCATTTTACTTTTATTAAAATTACTTTTCAAAGGGGGAACTCCCTCCCTGGTGCTCTGGTGGCCAAGACTCTTGTGCTCCCAGTGCAGGGGGCCTGGATTCGATCTCTGGGTCAGGGAACTAGATCTTGCATGCTGAAAGTAAAGATCCCACATGCCTCAATGAAGACTTGGTGCAGCCAAATAAATAAATATTTAAAAACAAAACAAATGGGAAATTCCATGGTGGTCCAGTGGTTAGGACTCTGCTTTCCTAGGTTTGATCCCTGCTCAGGGAACTAAGATCCCACAAGCTGCACAGTGGAGCAAAAAAAAAAAAAAAAGTACTACTTTCAAATAGATTACTTCACTTTCATTCTACTAAAAAGACTGAAAAGTTGTCTATTTATTTGTCCACATCAAATTTTAAACACCACAGTGTTTCCCTTATGCGACCATAACCCCCTACTTTCCCAGGTCAAATACAGGACGTCTAAATACTGTTGTGAAGATTTGACCCTTCTGTTTATTTTCAGCCTAAATGTCCACACACAGTTTCACTGGACGCAGGAACAGTATGTACCATGAGAAGAGGGTTCATGGAAAAGAGGAGCTCACACCTTCCCCAGTGTCCTTCCCGATGGGGCTCGCTCACTCTGCAGGGCAGCCCCTGACCCGGACAGCTGGCGGTGCTGAGACAGGAAGCGGGCCAGCGCCCGGGCAGGGCACAAGCCCTTGGCATGAAGTCTTCTCCAAACCCTCCTCTCTTTAGGGACAGGGCTCTGAGCTCCAGAACCAGACAGAACACCCACAGTCTGGCCCACTCAAGGCAAAGTGGACCTCAGACTCCACGGCACCAAACCCATTCCCCCAGCCCCTTTCCTTAGAGATACTCAGGGTCTACGTGCATTGGCTAAAAAGTCCTGGAAGTGCTGTCATCTCAAGGACTCTGGCTGAGCTTTGAGAAAGGGCTATATTTTCTGATCTCTGGGTGGTGATGAATCCATTAAAGACAAAACCAGAACACAGAAAAGAAACGTGAGGGGGAGGGTCCATCGTGTGTCCTAGTACAGGTGAGTCATGAACTCGAGTCTGGCATGGTGAGAATGCTCTTCACCTCTAACCTCAGTCCCTCTGTCCCCCGAATCTGCCCTCAGGCCTGTGCCACGCAAACACACCAATACTTGTACTAAATAACATTCCACAGAATGACCAGCCACTGGGACAGTTGTTCACCCTTCTTTCTGACTCAAAAGACCAAGGTTTTGCAACACTTTAAGTGACTACAGGATGTTTTCACTTTAAACTTGCCAAGTTAGGCCCCTGTCTGCAGGCTGAGGGTGCAGGGCTGAGGGGAGGCCAGGATGGACCTGACAGGTCCTCAGACACCACGTCCCGATGCAGCCAACGGGAGGTGGTGAGTGACTGCTCACTAAAGAAAAGCCCTTCACTGTGTACATTACTCACTTCTTTGACTACTCAGAATAGTCATGGTTGTTACAATAGCATCACTCAAACCCTCACACCCCACCGTGATTCCCTGAGTATAGGAGAAGGGTCAGTCAAGTTACAGCTATGATGCTGCGAAAAAGGGACACCCCACAAGAAAGATCTACAAGGAAACGTCACTGGACATTTATGTCCTAGGAAAAAACAAGATGAGATTCACAGGTTTAGGCGGATCCTCTCATTGTACAGATAAAGAAAGAGAGGCCAGGAGGCCAACGGTCAAACAAGTGGGGGGCCAAGCTAAGACCAGAATCAGATTTCTTAGCTCCCAACCTAAAGCCCTCGCCATTAGTAAGAGCTGGCTGCAGGTGTGCTGATGTGACTTCTGATCAGAAGTATGCATTTGGCCTTTGTCCTGTTTCTGGCACAGAGCTAAAACCCTTGGAATCCCCTAATGAAAGGCCGATAGCATTTGGTCTTTTGTCATCACTTCCTGAAAATAGTTCCAGAAACAAACGAGAAAGGATTAAAGGAGTGTTTTTTTATTCAAAACCATCCCCTTTCAACTGCACCAGTCTATGTAAATGAGGTGACTTTCGGAAAGTCCCTAAGGATGTCCGGTTGCCAAGAGAAACAACCACGTGATTAGAGGACTGGACCTTCCAGCCCCACCCCTGCCCTAGAGGCTGGACCAGTCACCAGTGGCCAGGGGTTTAATCGATCATGCCTATGTGATGAAGCCCCCATTAAACCCCACAGGCAGAGGGTCTAAGAGCTCTCTGGCTGGAGGTCTGAGGAGAGTGGTGTGCCTGGGGACAGTGTGGCTCTGCGTTCCTTCCCCACACCTGACCTGTGCACCTCTTTCCCTGGGCTGTTCCCGAGTTACATCTCTTCATAATAAACCGTTGGTCTAGTGAGTGAAATGTCTCTGAGGTCTGGGAGCTACTCTAGCATATTAAACATACGTGATGGAGGGGGCATGGGAACCTCCAATTAACAGGCAGCTGGACAGAAGTGGAGGGTGACAACCCGGGCTTGTGACTGGCCTTGGAAGTGGGGGCCGTCCTGTGGGGCTGAGCCTGTGGGATCGGATGCCATCTCCACGTAGATACCCTCAGAATTAAGTTAACTGCTTGCTGGTGTTGGGAAACACACCTCAGGACAGAGTTTTCAAAAAGGTGGGCTGGGAAATACTAGGTCTTGGAGGAAGCACCTATGGTAGGGAGAGACCTGTATTCTAATGAAAGCAGGGTCAGTACCGCTTCCATCACCTACCTCTGCGTTTGTCTATGCGTGTGTAAGGCTAAAAAAACAATAAACCTCAGGGTCTGTTGTTATGTGAGTGGGGAAGACCAAGATGACCTGGGTTTTCCAGCCTTAAGACCTTAGCAAGTGGTCTACTCTCCCTGGACCTCAGTTCCTCATCTGAAAAAGAGAGACATCTACCTCCCTTTGGAGGATCAAATAAGAAATCTGAAAGCGGGCTAAAAGGCGCTGAGCAAAGGCACACCACCAGCAGGCCAGGCAGTGCGTAATGAGGAAGAAGGAAGGGCGGTGAGTGATGGGGGCACGGACCAGCAGGGCACCTCGGCCCCAGGTCACGCAAGCGTGCTGGTGCTGACCATGGCCATCCCTGCTGGGCCCATCTCTTCGAGCACAGGACTCCGGAGCACTGTGTGTGGTGCTTTCTGTACAGCCGACATGGAACTGGACATACCAGGTCCCTGTCTAACCTCTAAGGCACCCACTCATGCAGGTCATGATCAACCGCGTCTTCAGTGATCTGGGCAGCTTTACAGGTCGTCTCATTTGCTGGGAACATGAGGTGGGTCAGCATTAACGCTAAGTATATTTTGCAGAAGAGGACACCAGGGTAGGTCACGTGCCCAAGGTAACGCAGCCAGAGGGCCAGGGCTGGCACCCAACAGCCAGGGAGTCTCGCCTCCCAGCAAGCGCCGTGTTCCCGGGGCCGCAGACAGGCCTGCCAGTACAGGAGGGTCACACGGCAAGAGGGACATGAAACGCTACGCAGACACACAAGGCATCCTCAAACATTCACCTCAAGGCTTCCACATTGTCCCAGCAACGCCTCCTGAAGCAACCGCGGTCCTGGATAGTCCCACAAACTACCAAGTGATAACTTTGTTTCCCTGGGAGTTCTGTTAATACGGAAGGACTGAGTTCTGCTTTCCACTCGGCACTGAGCCTGTAGTGTAGCATTGGTTGCAAGATGCTG